TTATTGTACTTACAGTTTCATGCCGTTTTTGGCACTCATCTGCCATATATTTAAATCAAGATAAAACCGTTTAAAAATACTATTTAAAAACTCTTACAAAATTCCAAAATAACATTGGAATGAGTTCCGTTGTCAAGTAATAATAATAATAATAATAATAATAATAATAATAATAATAATAATAATAATAATAACAATAATAATAATAATAATAATAATAATAATAATAATAATAATAATAATAATAATAATAGTAATAGCAATAATAATATTAGTAATAATAATGACAACAACAATAATAATAATATGGAAAAAACATCTTTTCTAATCGCCAGTGTCAAATTGAGAAAGGAAGAATCTGTTTATACGTCTGCACTTAATAACAATCTCACTCCTTTTATTTAGTATATTTGTTTTTTTATAATTTAGGATTTCATATTTTTTGGTGTGACATAATTTACAAGATTTGGATGTTGGATTATATGCTTTACATCAATGCATACATACATTACATAATATACTAAAACAAATACCACACTCGGTTGAACTTAGATTATCTACAAGTTCTTCTACCAAAGAAATATTTCAACATATTCTATTATATTATAACTATTCCACGATATAATGATGCTTTGTTAAAGTCTGTTTTTAAATGTAGCCTAACATATAATCCTAAAGCAACATTAACTCGAAAACAGACTAGAGCACGCAACATCATTTGATTTAATCCTCCATTTAGAAAAAATATTAGCACCATTTAGCATGTTAGCAAATGTTTTTTGAAATTTATTGACCTAATAATAACAAACTGCATAAAATCTTTAACAGGAACACAGTCAAAGTTAGCTACAGTTGTATGCTAAGTGTAAAGTCAATCATAAATTTGCACAACAAGTACATTTTACGCAATGATACAAACTCTAATCAAGAAAATTGTAACTCCTTAAATAAAAATCTAAGTTTTTCATTTAATAAATGTTTAACAAGCAACATTTTATACCAAGCAACTGTAACCACCACTAATAGCAAATTATATCCCAACGAAAAATCCTACTTGAAGTGATGGCATTTCTTAACAAGTGGTTATAATCATCTTTTTCATTTTTAATCTAACTTATACATATGCTGATAAAACATCTAATCTTTACAAATTATCTAATAATAATAAATTGATTAAAACCACTTGTTAAGAAATGCCATCACTTCAAACTACAAATTATCTAACTCAAACATAATAAATAAAAAAAACATAGAAAACATAGAAACCTCTTCTGAAAATGAAGTTTTCAATAAAATTAATTTTAATACAGCTTCAGGGCTGTGGAGTTGCGGAGTTGCAACATTTTTAGCAAAGTATGAGTTGGAGTCGCTAAACAAAATCGCGACTGCGACTCCAATAGTAAAACCTCTCGGTATTGCACCTGCATGTATAAAATATTCAATTAACCTTATGTTCATACTAAACCTCAAAAAACGTTTCATAATTTTCATAAATTTGTCAAAATAAATTTTTTAACTTATCGCGTAATATTTTTTAAAGAATTCAAAGAAATTTTTCAAAAATTTTACTTTGGAGTGAGAGTCGGAGTTGAAGTTGGAATCGGAGTTGTACTCAAAAAATTTCAACAACTGGAGTTGGAGTCTACTTTTTTTTTACGACTCTACATCTCTGTACAGCTTCTAATTGTTTTATCACCTTAAAAAACCATAAAGATAATTTTGAAAACAATCCGACTGTCCGTTTATTGAATCCTGCTAAAAATTAATACAGACCTAAGAAGTATATTACAACTAAATCAATGGAAAAACACTCGAAATGTTATCGATTGGTTTAAAGCCATAAAAGACTAACACCTTTACAAATTTTTAATTTTTGATATCATTGAATTCTACCCTTCTATTAGTGAAACACTTCTAAAAAACTCTATCAAATTTGCACTACAACACTTAACACTAAATAAAGAGAATATATTGTTAATTTTTCTTGCAAGAAAGTTTTTGTTTTTCTATAATAATCAGGTTTGGATAAAGCAATCAAGTGGTTTATTTGATGTTTCCATGGGAGCTTTCAACGGCGCGGAGGTTTGTGAGCTGGTAGGAATATTTCTTCTTTTTGAAATTTCAAAGTTTTATGACAAGTTTGAGGTTGGTTTATACCGTGACGATGGCTTAGCAGTTTTTAGTAATAAAAGTGGCCCTCAAATGGAAAAAATAAAAAAGCATATTGTCGAAATATTTAAAAGATTACGGATTTCTATATAACTTTTGGATTTCTATATAATGCAACATGAAAATTGTTTATTACCTCGGCATTATTCTAAATCTTATTGAGTGCACTTGTAAACCTTATTTCAAATTTTTAAATTATATCCATGCTGATTCAAATCACCTGCCAAGTATACTAATACAAATAAAAATTGTTATCGTTACTATTATTATCATTAATATTATTATTTGACATCGGAACTCATTCCAATTTTTTTTTTGTATAAAAATTATATATATATATATATATATATATATATATATATATATATATATATATATATATATATATATATATATATATATATATATATATATATATATATATATATATATATATATATATATATATAATTTTTTCTATTAATTTTTAATAGCTTAAAGAGTGTCAAATGTTACAACCGCCACTCTGCGAGAAAAATTTAAGAGTATCAAACAATGTAACATTTGATACTCTTAAAGAGTATCAAATGTTACAGCGTGGCAGTTGTAACATTGGATACTCTTTAAGCCATTAAAAATGAATGGAAAATGAAAGTAACTTTAACTTTTCCAGAAATGTGAAATACTATCATATAATTTAGTATGCAAAAACTACAGCACTAAAGTCAAAAAATTAATTAATTAGTGTGACAGTTGTAACATTTACTTTTTACCACTTTTAATCAAAATATTATTGTCATATTTAATGCAGCCAAATACATAAACAAAAAAATCATTAGGTGTGTGTATTTAGCACATATTGATATTATTATATGCTATGTTTTATAGTTTTTACTTGAAGTTTTACAAGCTTATTTATGTTTTTTTTTACAATTGTAACCGTGACAGTTGTAACAAAAATCCAATAATAAAAAACAACAAGTAAAATGACCAAATTAATGATGTAAGAAAAATTATGTTAAAATAATGCACTTAAACATTATCAAAGTTCTCAATTATGGTTTTACGATAAGATTTTTATTGCTACACAACAGGACTGCAGTTAAATGTCAAAACACGTTTTTACAACCCTTACACCTTTAAAACCATGTTATGGTATGATGAAATGATTTTTTTTTATAACTTTTTTGCTTAAAAGAATTTTTAAATTGGTAAAAAACTATTTATATTAAAATAATTCAAATAAAAAAAAATACCACAATTTGATGGAACTCTCAGTTTTATGCTAATCAGCAATTGAAAATTAAAAATAAAAGCTGTTATAAAAATACAAGGTTTGGGTTGCAGTGACATCTGATGTCAAAATAAAATGATTCGAATTTCGGTAAGATAAGAATAATCCTAATACCAATATAAGATTTTTTGGTAAGACTGGCATTAGCTTATGTTATAGTGGCTTTATATAAAATATTTTATGATAGACATTGGTTAATTAACGGGCACGTAGTTTTTTAATACTGTTGCAGTTTGTAACACTAGCAGTGAGTTTGTTGTTTAAAATTTGGCATACAGCTGTAGCTAGCTTTTTTTGTGTTTCTGTTGAAAAACTTGTGAAGCTTATAATATAATGCAAAACTTTATATCAATTATATTTAAGAATATTTTTACAACCTTTTTTCTAAAAGGAGAATTAAACCAAATAATATATATTATTTGTTAATAGTATTAGGGTTCAGATTTGGATAATGTTAAAGTTATGTTATAAAATCCAGACTTTTTTAATGCATCTTTATAAATAGATTTTTTTTGGTTTAAAGAATTGGTAGATAACCTATATTCAATTGAGGTTAGTAATTGTTTCAAAATGTTTGTTAAAGTCTCAGTTCCAGTAAACCAAGTAATATATATTATTTGTTTATTAGTATTAAGAGGGTTCAGATTTTGATAATAATAAAGATATGTTATAAAATCCAAACTTTTTTAATACATCTTTATCAATAGAATTTTTTTTTGTTAAAAGAATTGGTAAATAACCTATATTCAGTTGAGGTTAGTAATTGTTTCAAAATATTTGTTAAAGTCTCAGTTCCAGTAAAATGTTGCTGTTGCAAGGTTAAACTTGTTTATATCTGTGTATGTGTAATCAAAAAATCTGAAAATGAATATGCTTAAATCAAAACTTATTGTAAATTGAATAGTTTAATAAATTGCAATTTCATATGGTAGAGAAAGGTACAAAAATATATACCAATAACATTTACCTGCATATTTTTTTTTAATGAAAAAACAATTACCATTCTCAGTTTAATAGGAATCAGTAATATTTATTTATATGCATATAACAAAAAAAAAAAATTTTTTTTGTTGCACAAATTTATTTGTGAAAAAAGCCACTTCAACATAATTATGTGGAATTTGTAGTTATCTTAAATAGATTATTAACATGGAGAAGCTTGTTACAAATATGGAATAGGTATACTAATTTGGAATATACATAAAAAAATCTAATTATCATTTTGTTTATTTGTTTCTTTCAGCATCGCACTTCTTCTAAAACTGAAAAAAATCTTTATAACTACTTGAACTTAATCTGAGAAAACTCATTTCTGTTAAATAAAAATGTTTAACATTTCTCAATTTTTTCCTTTCCCTTTTCGATTAAATTTCATTTTTAATAAATTTTACAAATATTTATTTGAATAATCGCATGCATTAATTGACAAGATAGTTAGTCTACATTTAAAATTTAGTCTTTTTTATTTATTTTAGGTGGGCCTTAAATGCATCCATTTTAAAATATAACATTTTTTTTTAAATATTAAATTGCTTACTTTAAATTTTTTTTTTTTAAGTAAATTCACTGAAGATTATAGAAAAATTTGAATTAGTTGAATGTGAAGCTCGATCAATTAAATTGAAGTTGCAACTAAACAATAATTATGCATCAGATCAAGTATTAATGGTTAAATGTTCAAGGTTTGACGAAAAAGAGAAAACAACAACAATCATAAATATGGCTGGTTTTGTAACAATAAATAGTCTTGCACCAAATACTAGGTACAAATGTAAGGTATGATAATTTCAACTGGTATTTGTTAGAAATCAAAAATGTATTAAAAGTTAAGTATTTTAAATAAATTCTACACCTCAATCCATTTGAACCAAAATATAAAAATTGCTATAAATAAATCTAAAATCTAGTGGTTTAAAAATTGCCAATTAATGTAAAAAAAAAATGCAAATAGCAAAAGTTTTTTTTTGATTTTTTAAAGTTTCAGTTAGTACTGAGTTATGTAAGATTTTTTTGAAAGATTTAATATTAGTAAAACTTATGGATGAAAAAGTTTTATTCGCTTAAATATTAGAATAGTTTTCTTGTTTCACCGTTTTTTATTGTTTCAGCCTAATGCTGTTTTTACTTTGAAATATTTTTCTCAGTAAACACAGAAAAGAATGTATAAAAAAATAACTTTTTTCTATACATGTTTTTAAATATGTATTGAAAACATTTTATTGTTTCGATTAAACTTTTGTTCAAGTGATTTTTTTTTGCGTGTTTAAGAATTTATTTTTTTAAAAAAATTACCTAGTTCTACAATTTAAAAGAAAAGCAGATATAATGTACCTATATGTTATCTTTTGATCGGACAAAATTTAGTTAGAAAAATAAGAAATGTACAACTAAGTATATATTTAATTTACTTTATTTTTTTTACTATTTTTGTTCTACTTAAACAATATCTTTTGAATTGTTTAAATATTAAAAATTAATAAAAAGTAGCTAGACTGAAATGGCTTACTGCTTATGTTTAATGACTCAATGGGTACAAAAATGGGACGCCATTTTATACTGTAGAACAAGGGCTGAACTATATATATATATATATATATATATATATATATATATATATATATATATATATATATATATATATATATATATATATATATATATATATTATATATATATATATATAATATATATATTTGTAAAATGCATATATATTTATATATTCAAATTAGTAGAAAATGGCCAATGATCTTTTTTCATTGAATTATGTGTTTCATCAAAAAAGACTTATCAATAATGGAATAAGTTTTATAAGTGATTTTCTGATGATTTATTTTCTTTAATTGACAAGGCTGCAAATATCTACTATTAAGTTAGGAGTTAGAAGGAAAAAAATAATAAAGGTATAGAGCAAGGAAATGTTTGACTGAAGACTTGAAAAGTTGAAGGTTGTATGAGTCAGAAAAATATAAATACGGGAAGGATTTCGTGTGAAAGTGCTGAAATGCAGGGAAAAACACTTGATCAATTAAAGTTTTTATTAAAATTTATTATAGCTTATGATTGCTTAATGTTTCTTAATAAACATTAAGCAATCATTTTGTAAAATACATTTAAACATATATCTGTATTTATGTGTCTGTATACACACACACACACACACACACACACACACACACACACACACACACACACACACACACACACACACACACACACACACATATATATATAAATATATATATATATATATATATTTATATATATATAAATATATATATATATACATATATATGCACATTTATATATATATATATATATATATATCTACTATATATATATATATATATATACATATATATATATATATATATATATATATATATATATATATATATATATATATATATATATATATATGTGTATATATATATATATGTATATTTATATATATATATATATATATATATATATATATATATATATATATATATATATGTATATATACATATATATGCACATTTATATATATATATATATATATATATATATATATATATATATATATATATATACATTTATATGCACATATATATATATATATATATATATATATATATATATATATATATATATATATATATATATATATATATATATATATATATATATATATATATATATATATATATATATACAGTGTATATTGCATTTAATTTTTGAATATTTAAAAATTTGATTATATTTATTTTTTAATTGTTAGGTTTTTTATTATATTATTTATTATTTTTACATCTTTATTTTTACTCCGTGAGTCTTGATGGTATCCCTGTGCAAATATTTAAGAGGATGAAGTGAGTCAAGCAAGTAATTAACAATATATCAACAAAAATTGTTAACTAAAACTTAAAATTGTAAACCAGGTAATTTTTTAATCTTAGAGAAGTGGAGGTCAATTAATTTTCTTTATCCCACCTTTTCCATAATAATATGTATATATTATATTAAAAGGAGTGTTTAGTTTACTATGATGCAACTTTTAAGGAGAGCTTCTAAACTTACGCGCAGCTTTTTTTAAAGCCTGAAAAACCGATTTTGTTTGTACTTAAAAAAAGAATGTGCTAAAGCAAATTTCTTATTCTATCTGGCTATATCTACTTAATTTTTTAAATCTTATTTTAAAAATGAATAAAAAAAAAAAATGCCATTTTGTAAAAATCTTTCTTGAAAGTAGGGTAGTTAGTAAATTCAACCTTTTTTGGGAACCAAAACAATATATTTTAAGTTCTACTTTTTTAGTTTTAGTACAAATGATTCCTTATTTTTATGTTTTATATTTAATTTTTAATGCACTGATTGTTTTAAGGATATGCATTACTACTTTCGATAAGGGTTTCATTGTAGTTGTATATTACCAATTCACAGTTTGTACCTTATCCACTTTTCAAAATTAATGCAAATTTATTGATAAGAGTAGTAAGTTATTTTAATTCTTTTATTCAAATTTGACTATTGTTTTTAAAATCTTGAAAAAATAAATAGTTTTCTATAGTGTGAATAATTATAGCCCTCAATTTACTCTGATTCTTAATTAGAGCATTAGTGACAAATGGATATTTGCTATTTTTTTTTTCTACTCAGACTTTTTTAACTTTATTTTTTTCTGGCTCCTAAATAAGTTGCTTTTAAGTTACATTTAATCATCAATGTTAATGAATCTGACAAAAGTTTCAGTTTTTACTGTTGAAATTTTAATGAATCTGGCAGAAGTTGCAGTTTTTACTGTTAAAGTCTCAATGAATCTGGCAAAAGTTGTAGTTTTTACTGTTGTTTATTATCACATCTGAATTGGAATCAATGATAACTTATGCTCCATGCAATTCTATCCAAGCTTATTTAAACATTTGTAATAATATTATCATCTGCATCCTAATATATACTAATATATATATATATATATAAAATATACTAATATATATCTAAAAGAAAAAAATATAATATATACTAATATATATCTAAAAGTTGGTCTATAATATTTTTAGTTTATATATTAAGTTTATTGACAATCCTCAAGTTTAAAGAGTTTGAGTTTTACATTCTGCTGCATATATTTTTCCAACATTCTTTGTAGCATTTTAATGGAACTGTTCCAACAAGTTGCTACATTTTGTTTATTTTGGTCAGGCATGATAAAAGTAGATGAATGTATTTTAACTATTCATTATTAAATCAATTTATGTAATAATATCAAAACAAAATTTATAATGATGTAGTTGCTATTATTGTACATAATGCATTGAACCAAAAACTTCACCTAAATAACTCACCATCTTGGCATAAGCTCTAAATTTAAATTCAATAAATTTAAATTTTGACTGCCTGCTAATCTAAATCCCTTAGCTTCTATTTTTTCACACCATTGTGCCTATCCCTAGGTAGTCATGTGATTTATGTATACTACACTGCACCAATCCCAGATAATCAGTCAATGTATGTATACTTACAGTTTCTATCCCTAAGTAGCAAAATATTAAAATTCAAGTTGCAAAATATCAAAACAGGTGTCTAGGTGTGGGAACTTTTTTTGAATTGAATGAATTGACAAAAATAAATGTGATTTTTAGAATTGAAATATGTTGAGTTGAAACTTTTGTAGTAACACTAACATTTTCTTTCAAGCCCAATAACAGCAAAAAAAAAAAAAAACCTAATATAAATACACAATTTTTGCATTACAATGAAATCTAACATCAGTTTTTGTGTCAATTGAAAACTTTTTTTTATCAGTATTGGAGTGCAGAAGTAAAAACTTCTTTTATGTCTACATGAGGCCACCATTTAACTTTTAATATTTATCAGGGATTTATGATTAATTATCATAATAAAGTATTTTTCATTTAAGCAAAGACATCTCTTTGAGGATAGATTATAAGATTGACATTTTAAAATTTTTCTAAAATTTGAATTCACCTTACCTAGGATATAAAGACCACTACAGTCAAGAAAGCTCTTTTATTTGTGGTTACAACCCTCTTTTGACTTGTTTACTCTGAAACATGAACCTTGACAAACAAGGTGGCTGTGCAGAGAAACAAGTTAAAAAGTGTGGTACTACCAGGGACATGGTGGAGATTGGACATGGTGGGGAAGAGGCACTTGCTCTACCACTACACCACTACTGCATTAATAATGTTCCACTTGGTTATAAGGATTATACTTTCTTGTTTAAGTTTTCAGAAATTTTTAGAAAGGTGTGTGTTGTTTTTATACCTGATTAAATTAAAAATTTAGGTCAATTAATATTTACTACAAAAATTTATTGCAAAAATGGTTTTTTTGGTGTATAGTGTTTGTAAAGGTTATGTTAAAAAGATAATTTTCTGGCCTGTAGTATGAATGCTGATCAAGAAAATCATATTTATTATGTCCAATTGATTCAATTTAATAAAGTCCCAACACCAAGACACCTGTTTTGATATTTTTCAAATTTTAATATTTTGCTACTTAAATTTAGTTTAGTTATTATCTAATATTTGTTGCAAAAAATTATTTTTGTACACTGTAGTGTGTATGTTAGAGTTATGTAGAAATAAATGAACTTTTACGGATTGAACAAAATAAATGTGATTATCTTAATACTGACTAAGAAAATCTTTGTTTGAAGCCTAACATAATACATTTGAAAGAAAAGGTTTTTTGATAAGATATGACACTTACCATGTCATTAGGCTGTCTCGGTGCGTGAACTTTTCTTTCTTTGTTTCTTTAGAACTATCCCT